TTTCATATATGCAGATGCAAATGCCGATGATCAGCTCCTAGCTACACATTGATTTCAGCAGTCCAGATAATGACCCAAAAGGGATCTAAATCAATTATCACAATTTCAATAAGCATCAGCCAATCCTACACACCATACCAACAATCAGCATAGAGAAAAGGAAGATGCTACGATGTTCACCCTTAAAGTAATGCATGTGGTATACTTTTGTGTTATTTTAATCTCTATATTTTCAAATCACTCGATTTTAACCTTGAATTTTATATTTTGTCTCTTTTTGTCCCAATTGAAAATGGTAGTTAAGTTTTTTTACGGAAATTGGCCATGTGCATGTCACATGTCTTATTTTAAAAGGTAAAATTGTAAATTTAATATTTTGTATATTATTCAGCCAACTTAGTGAGTTAACTCACTTAAATAAACACACGTGGATCTCAATTGTAGAAAGAGATGGTTTTTGTTTGACAAATGGTTCGACGGGAAAAAAGAAAGGGGGTTCGTTCGACGGTGGGGCTCAGTTGGGGTAAGGCCGTGAGATTGGACTAGTGTCCGTTGCTGAGAAGGTCATGACCAGAGACCATTACTTTTGTTGCGGCTGCAACCGCTGCAGATTGTGAGATTTCATCTTTGTCATCATCACCTCCTTATCTCTATTGCATGCTATTTACTATTTTGGGCAATAGAACTGATCCAAGTTTTTCCTCCTTAAAATAAATAAAAACTTAACCAAGTTCTTTATGGAATTGTTTGTAAATTTTCTTATATTACTTTGAAAAAAAATCTTTTTGTCAATGGTGTTTTGCTAAGATATTATGGAATTGATTCAATGTGAAAATTTTAGAGACCACTGATGTAATTTGTCCAATAAAAAAAGGCAAGTTCCGTTTGGCACAAGTAATCTTAGAAGTTTGAGATAAATATTATGATCTAGTTTGGGAGGGGGGGACGCAACTAATAGAGGTAATACGTAAATATAAAAATAATTAATAATAGAACATACATTTCAATATAAAGATACAATAATTATTTTTTTTTATCTATATGATTAATGAATGGCCAATAATACTACATTTATTTATTTTTTAATGACATTTACCATCTCATGGTCATGATTGCATTGGTTAAATTGGTTCCATCACTAGGGACAATTTCAAGGCAATTGTGATAAATGATATGGTAAAAATGTGATCATGTAAATGAGCCTCCGTTTGGGAAGTGGGTTGGCTTTTTGGCTTTTTGGCTATTTTAGCCTGGGCTATTTTAGCCTGGTTTGGGAAGGGTTTTTTGGCTTTTTGGCTTTTTTGGCTTTTTTTGTGAGAGAGGATTGTAATGATTATGGGTTGGATTTGATGTTTTGTTTTTGTGGCTAAAATAGCCTATTTTGTTTTTTGTGGCTATTTTAGCCAAAAAAGCTTGGCTTTTTTCTTCCCAAAAGGATAGACCCAAAGAATGAACTGTAAACCCAAATATATCGACTTCGACTCTTACTAGTGTTTCTCAGACTTAACTGATACGTATGATTTGTAGGCAATTTTTAGAAGGAAAGTGATTAAGAGCTCTAAAATTAGAGCTCTAATATGAGCACTAGTGATGTGACAAAGCAAAAAAAAAAAATCACATCATATAGTAGAACCCATTATTAGAGCTCTCTCTAATGCTGTGTTTGGTTGAGGGATTTGGGGAGGGATTTGGAAAAGGAAATGAAAAATGTAGGTGAAATGTGAATAAATCATGCCTATATTTCACATAGTTTCACACACCTTTTCCCTTTCCCTTTCCCTTTCCCTTTCCAAATCTCTCATCAAATCCCCCAACCAAACACAGCATAAAGCTCTTTCTCTAAAACTCCTAAACAATTATCTTTTTAAAATTCGAGATTTACTGTCCAATGTAGCTTTCATGATTGCATTGGTTAAGTTTGTTCCATCACCCCATTCTGTAATTACCTTTTTTGTCCTTATTAGCCATAAAGATTCGAGAGTAGGAGAGAAATAAGTGGGGGGAACTGTTCATATGGGAACCATAATTAAGTAAATTTCCAATTAAAAAATCTTCCCACACAAGCAAAAGTTGAAAACCACCATCTAGGGACATTTTCAACCCCTATGGTTTGAGAAGTGTTATTTTAATTTATTTTTTAATTTTTTATGAAAAATAAAGAGAGTGATATAATAATTTATAGTAATTTTTAACTATATTAGTCTAATGTCAAACAAGGTTTATCAAATTTAAATTTGGATAAAAATCTTGCAAAACACCTCTCTACCCATTGACATGAAATTGAGTTTTACCCATTTTTTAACCCAATTTAAAGAAGACTTAAATATATATACTTGAATTTTTTTCAAGATCATTTTGTAATTTTCAAATTTATCACTCTGTCATTACTGAAGTTTTGCCCAAATTTACGTTCAAACCTAAGTCCATCCATTGGAATGTCACATCAAATCAAACTTAGATTTTTAATTAAATTTGTAGTAGTACTACATCCACACAATTTCTTCCCCTCACAATCATCCCCCTAATGAGGTGGCAAAACAAAATGCATATAAAGAGAGTTTTGAAGGAATATTTGAATGTAGATCAACTTTTCATATTTTGCTTGTCACATCATTTGGGAGGGTTTGGGGAGAGAGAATTATGTGAATGAATCATTTTTCTTAAATTTGAGTAAAAATTTAAGGAGCCGAAAATAGCCTAACAAACTTTTTAAAATCTGGCCTGAAATAAGCTTAAATTATTTTACAATAGGCCTACATAGACTAGTTTATTGGTTTTGTTGTAATGCTTGGTTGGTTTATTGTTTAGGGCAAATTACATCAGTAATCCCTGTATTTTATTTCTTGTATCATTTTGATCCCTATACTTTCAATTGGCTTAATTTTGACCATTCATTTTAAATTTTATGTCAATTTTGGTCCAATTGATAATATTATTAGTGTTTTTTAAAGAAAATTATCACTAAATTAATTAAGGTTAACTCACTGAGTTGAGTAAATTTATAATTGTACCCTTAAAAATATGACACATAACACTTAAGTGCATATTTTCTATATAAAAAAACAATGCTAAGAGTTCAAATCAATTGGACCAAATTAAGACAAAGTCATAAATTCAGAGTCAAAATCGAGCCAATTGAAATTATAAGGACTAAAATTTCACAATGACCAAAATACAGGAACTATCATCGTAATTTTCCTCATTGTTTATTGACTAATACCATTCTAAAGCAAGGCAAATACCTAACCGTAAGAAATTGTGTGTTGAGCAAGAATTCTAAGGTTGACTTAATAAGACGCCTATAAATATACCTTGTTGTATATGACAAAAATATAAGTTGATCTAACAAGGTTGAACTAGTTACTCCAAAAAGAGAGCCTAAAAGAGAACAAAATGGGAGAGTTCAGTACTAAAGTGTCAAAGGTTATGAGGATGAGCAGGCCTGTGTGCCTTTTTGCCCTCCTAGGAATGCTTTTTAGTGTCTATCTTGGCTTATTTTTTAATTTGTGTCCAAGGAATTTGGAGGAAAGAAAACACATATCACTTTAAGTATAAATTTGGTGAGTTTGAATTTGTTTCACTTTTTATGTTTATCTAAATATTGGGTATCTACTTTTTGACTCATTTCTATAAAAATTAACCCTGTGTTTCCTAGAAGACAAAAATAAAAAAAATGAAACACAATAAATAAATAAAAAGTGATAATTCTCATGTCTTCCTTCTCATTTTAGTTTTCAATCTTATGATTTTTAATCTTCTCCTAATCGACAACTTGAAATCGAAATGTACAGATCAATCATATAGCATTGTGGCAGGAGGATTCATGATGACTTCACCACTTTGACAATCAAAGCTCTCCATTTCTCCATTGCCAAATGTTTACAGTTCAGATACTTGAGGCCACTGCAGCCTGCACATTCGACTACATCCATGCTATTTTGGGTTTCGTTGACTCGATCACTTTCTTCGATGTACTCTTGATTTTGATTTGTTTAATCTCTTTGTAAAGTTCATTCAAGCCAAAATGTTGTCATTGATCGCTATTGAACTAGAACAATTGCAACAGCCCGACATTTCGGACCACAATTACTTCATCCAGTCCACTAAAGAAACCTGGACACATACGGAGAGGGTTGCTTCAAGTGGAGATAGCATTATTTTGAGCCTACTTTGATTCTACGGGTCGTATCATCTTCAACCTCATTCCATTCTCATTAATAATCGAACCTACATAACGAAATTGCTCACCCTTTGGTAGCTCATGCTTTTCAATCTCAAGTTGTCTGTTATTTCTATTTGTACTGTAATTGAAGTAATATTCCATGTGTACAATTTCAATATTATTTTAAAATGTTTTTTAACGACTCAAGTGCTTCTATTCTATCTAAATTTCTAATTTAGTGTTAATTCCTCTTTTAATTTCATCCACTATGATAATAACATCTGTAAATAGCATAAATCATAAGATATCATCTAAAATATGTCTAATCAATTCATCTATAATTAAGGCAAATAGGTACGGACTTGAGGCTAACTCTCGGTGTAATCTTCGAGTAATCATAAATTCATTTGTTTCTTTGGCAAGTGAATTAATTGTAGTTACAATTCCATTATACATGCCCTTCATTGCATTAATATAACCGCTTTGTCAATATTTTTTTCTTTAACACTCACTATATTATATTTCTAAGCACACCCCATCTTACGTTTTTTTTTTTTCTAAATCCATAAAAGCTATAAGCATATTCTTTTTCTTTTTCCTCCATATTTTTCTATTAATCTCCTTGGATGAAAATTTCAGCTAAATATTTCACTGATTTAATATAAAAACCAGGAATGATTAAACGGGGAAAATAGAGATCAATTGATAAATTTATAAAATTACCAAAAGACCATATGGCTAAATAGTTGGGGTTAAAAGTGTCTATAAGCAAATGTTCACTATCTTATAAAACAGCAACTGTTCTTTGGTAAATTATATGAAAACAAGCTACAACTTAACCGTTTGAGAAACATGATAAGGAATGTAGAATCAATGCAGTTCTACACCATCGAGCCAATTAAGCGTAGGTAATATCTTAACCAGAAACAACTTAAACTCTTCTTCAGCAACAACATTCCCAATAATGTCTAATTGTGTCAACTTCGAGTCTTTAAAAATTGCAAACGCTTCCCAGTAATTTGTCACACTGACACCACTAATTACAAATTCACCAAAATTCCAATCACTTCCTACTATATGGGAGAGGGGAGAAGAGCACAAGTACCTTCTTGTGTCGACAGCGTGTGCACCGATTTCATTGTATGAGATATCCAACACTTTCAATGACTTTAGCAGTTTTAAAGGCTCCAGGGCAGAAAAACTACCCATTTTGTTGTTACTGAGGTTCAAGCAAGAAAGAAGCTGCATAGCCTGCAATCCTGTCATAAAGACCAATAAAAAGCACTCAGTTACTTTCATTTAAATAAACTAATGTTGTACAAATGTGTTTATGTATAATATTGTATATATGAAGACATGATACACACATATAGATGAACAGACAGACAGACAGACAAATAGATAGATATAGAAATACAATGAATTGAAAATCGAAACCACAAAACCAGATTCAAGTGACAATGAAAATTTAAAGAATTAATTGTAGTTTACCTTCAATTGAGCTAAGTTGGTTGTGGCTGAGGTCTAACATTTGGACCCACAGTAATTTCTCAATAGACCCAATATGTGACAATGAAAGATTATTGAGTCGTAAACAGATATAATTATTGGTGCCTGAAGATGCCGAGTCCCTGTAATGACAGCAATGCGTCGGCAAAGATTCTGGACTAGAGGTCAGCTGCAGAAGCACAAAAAAATTTGAGAATCAGTGTTATAGAAAAATCAGTAATCTATATCAAAGGTTCAAGGCAAATCTTTAACACTAAATCTTACTAATATTATTGACTAGAGATCTCTCTGGGTGTGTTGAAAAGAACCAGAGATTCTTACACAAGACATTCATAATTCCAATGAACATAACTATATAGTTAGTTAGACTAATCTCAATAAAAATAATAATAAGCCCACTATATGAACTAAGTTCGGTTTTACTTTGAATTCTAGATGAACTTATTGAAGAAGCATGCCCATCTGTTTACTTAAATGAGCATGTAAAATAGCATGTTTATAGGACTGCAATACAAGTACAACTATTTGGACTATGGATGGCTAAAGGGCTATGAAGCACAGGTACTCCAAAAATGGAGCCGTACAAGTACCGGGTACTTACCAGGTGCGGGTACGCCCAATACATTCCAGGTACAGCAAATACATTTGAGTAAGTCGTGGGTACGGCACCGGCACGGCAAAATGATTTTTTTTTACGGTAAAATGATTTTTTTTTTTTTTTGTAGATGCTAGAATTTATTGCAACCTTTATTATTCTTCTTTCAATTTTGAAAATGTCAAGTAATTTATTTCCAATACTCTTTATCCATGAGTCATTGTTTTGCTCTATTTTGTATCCTGTTTTAGACAATCAAAACAGAAAAAGAAATAATTATATAACTTTTTAGACAAGTTTTTTCTCTTTTTACTTTTAATATTGAAACCTTGATTGTATGTTGGATGTTTAGCTATAAATTAAAAAAAAAAAATTAAAAAATTTGACGTACCCCAACCATACCGAAACCCTAACCCTACTTTTTTAAGAATTTGTCGTATCGGCATACCTGTATCGTACCCGTACCCGCACCCATGCTTCATTGCTAAAGGGTCATTTGACCTAGTTCTTAAGCAAAATGAGTGAAAGCTTAAGCAAGAGCTGAGCCAATTTATTTTAGTTTAAGTGTGAAAAACTCTTCATTATGTTGGGCAAAGCCCTCAAACCTAATAACATTTAGATTCTTTAATACGAGGGCATTCAGTAGCTATCATCAGATTTCTAATTTGATGCAAGCATGATGAGTGGTGGCAACCTCACGTGTCTAGAGTTAGATGAAAGGCTTATCAATCTGTCATGTGTAACATAGACCAATTTACATAGCAGTATGTAGGGATGATATGATCCAAGTTGAAGAGGACTTTACATAGCAGTATGTATGTAGGAAGGCTTATCAGTGAGTGAGTTGAGGCTGTGACAACATGCCTTTGTATAGGGACAATTGAAGAAGACTGTTTCCATGGGACTTTGACACCTGGGCTTGTTAAGTTGGAAACAGATATTTTCATTTGAATTGTTGTTTTACTAATATATTTTAAGCCTATCTATGACTTTATATAATGAGCTTTGAGGCATAATTTCATGCTGGCCAATCAAGTAATCAATACATCAGTAGGATATTAAAACCACCAGGAAATAATATCTGATGGTATTCACAAAATGAGCAGAGAAGAGACAAACTGGAGTAGCTTGTCTTTTTTGGCCAAACTGAGCTCAAACAATAACAGCACAAATTCAATCGAACTAGGACCAGGCACAAGCACTGCTCCTTACCTGCTAAGTAAAGCACAAACACGCAATACATTGTTTGCTGCTCAACTCAGATCAGCTTGTTCTTACTCCTAAATGCAATGGTTCAAAGCTCTAGCTCTCCTCAAGGAGAACATGAAATATTAAAGAGATACTACTCATACATCCAACACAACAATGAAAAATGAACCTAAATGGTCTGTGCTTTTGATGTAGAATATAAGAAGCTCAAAGAATAGCAAATTTAAAGAAGCGGCGATATTTGAAAATTGGAATGGTTTCAAAGAGAAATCGATAGGAACCATACATAATCATGTTTTTAATATTATTATAATTTTATTTTATGATTATTTTTATGTTTCTAGGATCTTTAGGCGAGGGACATTTGTCTACATGGGCTGTGGGGGTCGCCCATGGTTCGTCTTGTGAGTCAAGTTATTTAATTGAGTTTTATTTATGTTTCTTATTTGGTCTTTAATGATGCGGAATATAAAAAGTTCAAAGAAGAGTAAATTTAAAGAAGCAGCGATATTTGGAAATTGGAATGGTTTCAAAGAGAAATCGATAGGAACCATACATAATCATGTTTATAATATTATTATAGTTTTATTTTATGATTATTTTTATGTTTCTATGATTTTTAGGCAAGGGGTATTTGCCTACATGGGCTGTAGGGGTCGCCCATGGGTCGTCTTGCAAGTCAAGTTATTTAATTGAGTTTTATTTATGTTTCTTACTTGGTCATAAATTAGTTTTGGAAGTCTAAGATATTATAGTAGTTTTTTTTATTTATTATTATTCTAGTTGGTTTAGGAAGTCTCTAAAGTCTATATAAAGCCATGTAATGTCTCTAATTCAATAGAGTTGATATTTTATAAAAAGTTAAAGAGCTTTGAAGTTTCTTTATGGATTGTGTGATGCCTATGGAATCTAAAAGTGATGCCTAGACCTATCTTCTTCTTCTGCTTTCTTCTTCTTTTATGTTTCAATTTGCTATTCTCGGATTACTATTTAACGCCCTCTAAATGTGCATTTTTCAACCTCAAAACTCCGTCCAATCACCTTCAAATCAACCCTAATCCCTTCCCCTACCTATTAGCCTTCAATTTACTCTTGAAATCATAAATTACTCACTGTTTAGGCCATCAAATAACCTCTGTTTTGAAAATCCAGCGTTGTCCCTATTCGTCCTGCATCAGCTTTCCTACACAGTAATATAGAAGAGAAGATATAACGATCCCGGTTTCCCTTTTCTTTAATTGTTGTGTCCGGACCTAGGTTCCGCGGAGTTGGTTGTTGTGAATACCTTGTTTACATCCTTTACTCTTTGTATTTGAGTCTTGGGTTGTGTTGGGCAGGTTTGAAACAGGTTGGTTGAGCTTAGAAACCAAAACTAGATGCCTAGATTTTGGCCTGTCCGCTCGAGCGGAGCTTTTGACGCTTGAGCGGGGACTTTCTTGTTGCTTGTCTGCTCGAGTGGGGGTTTTGGCGCTCGAGCGGGAAAATCACCCATCCAGTATCTCCTCTGTAGGGTGTCCGCTCGAGCGGGAGTTTGGACGCTCGAGCGGGAGTTTGTGTGTGACGCTCGAGCGGGAAGCTGGAAGCTCGAGCGGGGACCTAGTTCTGCAAAAGTGCTGGGAGTGTGTATCCGGCGCTCAAGCGGCGGTTTGGACGCTCGAGCGGGCGTTTGTGTGTGACACTCGAGCGGGGGTTTCCACGCTCGAGCGGGGCGACTGGTTTAAAGCTCCGTGTTTGGACATTTTAAAATCACTTTTTCACATCTCTTCTCTCTCTTACTTTTCCAAAAACTCCATTGTTGAGCCTCTCTCTCTAGAACCTTGCCTTCTCTCTAGGTATTGATCTAGTAGGAGTTGTTTCCTCACCTTTGGCCTTTACAAAAAAGTTGTTGATCGTCGAGGGCTATCTTTTGATCCGGGAAACTTGTGATTTGGAGCATTTTCGTTTCCATCATCTTCTTCGTTGGGTGTCATCTTTTGAGATAGGGATTCCTACTCATTCTTATGGGTTTTAACATAGATTTTTGGGCATTTCGTTAAATGGTTGGATTTTGAGATCTAGGGTTTGAAAATGTATAAAAGAGGGTTTTGTCATTTTGATTCTAAAATGAGTGTTTTGGGTTTCAAAATAGCGGTATTGTTGTTGGTTGATGAAATCTAGACCATTGGGTCATTATTGAAAAATGGGGAAGAATGCCCTAATTTGTATATAAATTAATCAGTATAATTAATTTAGAAAAGTTATGGATTTATGGAATTGAGTTGTAAATAATGAAATTGGCTCATTATATTGTGAAATGGTGGAGTTTGATTTATTAATCACTCACTTTTGAAAACATGATAATTTATCTGTTGGAGCTTTTATTATCTGTTTAGAAATAATTGCTTGGGCTACCAGTGGAGGGTAGTTTTGATTGTTGTAGACAATGCATGATGATTAGGCAAACTAAAACTAATCAATTGGATATGTCATAGAGTATGACGGTTGATAGAATACATTAACATTATGTATTGATTGATTGTGTATATGACCATTGTGTATATACGTTGTGTGTATGGGAGGAGATAGGGGATGTACTCCACGGTTTAGGAGGGGATGGACCTCTAAACCGGATGTTGCTTGGAAGGAGATAGGGGATGGACTCCACTGATACAGCTCATATGCTTGTCAGTTAATGTGTTGATATAGCTCATATGCTTATCTATGGAAGTATTGATATAGCTAGTATGCTTATCTATTGTGAAATGGGAAACGTATAATATGAGTAACTGTCTCATGTAAGTTGTTGGCCAGGTTCTGAGCTGTTGTTGTGAATTTGAAATTTGATAAGAAATGAAATGAAATGAAACGAAACATGAACATCGTGGTCATGTAATGGTAATGGATTAAGAATTGATTCATGGGAATTCAACATTTATCAATTGCTAATGTCTTAGTTATTGCTCATACTGTGTTTAGCATATCTTTACTGGGCGTTGGCTCACTCTATATGGGACACTATTTTTAGGTACAGATAGCATGCCACCTCCAAGGACTTAGTTTGGATGATGATGAGAGTTGAAGACTCTATTTTTGTTTACTTTGTTTTTTATTACATGTACATCAAGCCAAGGGCTTATTTTGTATAGAGTTAGTACTCTTCTTTTGTGTAACCAAGTGTTGACTTGGAAAGCTGTAAGCCCGTAGGGCATTTGCTTTTGTTGTTACCATGTAATACTGTTGTAAGGACTACTCTGATGACTATAAATGATTGGTTTCTTTCGTTTCAATGCATGTCATATGTGATGGGTTTAATGTATTTTTTTTAGGGCATTACAACTTGGTATTAGAGCGTACCGGGTTCGAATATACTTTGGGTGTGTGGGAAGTGATTAGTATCACAATGGGTTTGTCTCGCTTGGTTAGAGACTTAGATGTAGTGTTATGGGTTTGTCTATCTACTTTAAAAATTAAAAAATAAAACCCACTAACATCTACCCACCAATCTCGCAGAGATATCTACAATTCTGACCAATCATCCACCTATCCAGGCATTCTTCAAAATATATCTACAATTCTCACTCACCATCCACCATCCACCTACCATAAATACTTATACCATTTTCACATATTATTCACCCACCAACAACCACCCATTAAAGAAGGTCTAGAGAGAGAGGTGATTTCTAGCGATACTTCAGCATTGCTCTGGCGACATTTCGAAGACCCATTTTACACTTCTAAAATGTAGATCTACACTCTTAGAGTATAGATCTACAATTTTTGAGTGTAGATTTGGACTTTTTATGTCTGAAATAGGGGTTATGAGAGTTTTCTCCCCTGATTTCGATGTAGATTTTTAGATTTTCAATACCCACAATGGTTCCCTCCTCTCTCAAGTCTTCTCTCATACCATTGTGGGTGTATTTCATTCTCAACTCTAGCTTCTGGTGGTGTTCGATGTCCAGCGGCAGCGGTGGCGGAGCTGGGCAATAGCTACGAGGACGACGTCGACGGAGACAGCAGGCTTTCAAGTAGATTTTGCTTTCCAAACCATATCTTTGAGAAAATTGGTGGTTTTCTCTAGCTCGTAGCTGTTTTTTGGCAAATTTGTTTTTATCTTTTGTTTTGTTGTTTAGTTGGGATCGCTTTGTAGGGTCTTACTTATGTAATATTATTGTTTATTAATTTGTTTTTATCTTTTGTTTTGTTGTTTAGTTGGGATCGCTTTGTAGGGTCTTACTTATGTAATATTATTGTTTATTAATATAATGTGTCCCATGTACTCAAAAAAAAAAAAAACAAAACAAAACAAAAACAAAAACAAAAACAAAATAAAACAAAATCGAAATGACCACCCATTATTTACTTTGTTTGATTAACATTTGTCGAAAATAATTTTTCAATTTTTTATTTTGGGTTGGTTTGGGAAGTGGGTTGGCTTTTTGACTTTTTGGCTTTTTGCCTTTTTTTGTGAGAGAATAGTGTAATAATTATGGGTTGGATGTGATGTTTTGTTTGTTATGACTAAAATACCCTATTTTATCTTTTGTGGCTATTTTAGCCACAAACTATCTTGCCAAACGAAATGTTTCTTTTGTCTTTGGTAAATTGTTTTAATATAATTTTTTTTACTTTTTGTTTTAGTTAATCTAGATACACTTTTGTGAATTTTTTATTTCAAAAAATCAGATTTTTTATTTACAAAGATTTTACTTTTTAGGTGCATTTAAAAAAATTAACTAATATATATATATATAATTCACTATAGACAACATGACAAAAAATAAAAAATTCAAAATAAAATAGAGTAACGTAGTTTAAGTTTTTTGTTTTTTAAAGTTTGTAAAACTTAAGTTTATAAAGTGATCGTATCTATAAAAATTCCTCCAGTCGCCACTGATGATACTCTTGTCAAGATTCAAACAATAAAATAAAAAATATGACTCATTTACATTATGTCGAGACGCTAATATACGTGGGCACTTAGTTAAATATAAACACGTATAATATAACTCAAAATATATATACATATATAGGGAAATGTTATGGCGTGCACTCCTTGAGGGATACATACATATATACCCTATCACAAAATATATAATTTTATTGTAAAATTTCATAATATCAATCACAATATGTAACCTTGGCATAAATTGGTATAACAAAATATCTAAAATTTTGAAGTTGATATTGCAAACTCACCTGGGAACAAAATGTTATTTGTTACTTACTAAACAATACACGCGTTAATATATATTCTTGACTTAGGCCTCAAATTGTTCTGACTTTTTAAAAATTAAATTTTTTATTTTTTATAATATTTTATTTTTTGTAATTTTTTTAATATTTTAATTATATATATATATTATTTTTTAGATACACTTAATTTAGATAAACTTAAAAAATATAATATTTATAAAAAATATATATTTATAAAAATTCAAAAAAAATATGCAAAAATTTAGTACGTTTTTGTATTCTTGTATATTTATTAAATTTTTTAAAATATTTTTTTACAAATATTTTACTTTTTAGGTGCATCTAAAAAGTGAAAAACCTAATTAAAATATTAAAAAAAAATCACTAAGAATAAAAAAACTCAATTTTCAGAAAATCAATCTAAACCAAATAGGATAGTACCACTAAAGAAACAATATATAGCACACACTAAGGTCCCGTTTGGGGATATGCTATTTTAGTCTAAAAACTAAAAATTTATTACAAGTTGTCACACCATTCTCAAATAATGATTAGTAAATGTTTAAGATCCATAAAAAAAAACTTTCAACAATTTGATCTACAATGATGTGGCATAATACATGTCATAATGATTAGTAAATGTTTAAGACCCATAAAAAACTTTCCACAATTTGATCTACAATGATGTGGCATAATACACATCAAATTTCAATTTGTCACATACTCAATTGTGTGGGGTTTATCCCTTTTGCCACATCATTTAGGGGTTCAATTTGTGGGTCTCTAATACTACTTTTAGAATTATGTACAAAATAGTGAATTAATCATTATTTGAAATTTTGAACATTGAAGACCTTTTTTTTCCCACCCACTTTCCACACTATTAGGTTATATTTTGATCATAAATTTAGAGAGAAATTTACGTAGAAAAGAAAAAGTAAATGAAATAAAGCTATTTTTTCACATTTCCACCATCTTTTACTTGCCTCTACAAATTCCTCCTCAGATTTATAATCAACCTATATATAAACAAGTGTTTTCTTCCAGTCAATTAGTGTTGTTCTCTTCTAAAAGTGACTTGATTACTTGCAAAAGATTTTTTTCTTTTTTTGTTTTGTTTTTGTTTTTTTGTTTTTTTAAAAAAATAAAAAATAATCAACTACTTGTAGAAAAACATGACAATGAAATGTGAAAGTTGAAAAAATTCTACCCCTAAGAAGAAGTAATTGCCATTCATGAGCTATGACTTTTGAAGTCATCAAGTCTTCTAATAGAGTTCCCTCAAATTCATGTTTAAAAATTGCAATGCACAAGCTAAACTCTCATCTTTATACACTCGTACCAAGTAACCTTCCATACTAAGAAGCCATGGGCACAACCTCTAGTGCTCTTTTGATGTTATTTGCTTTTCTTTTCATTGAAAGAATTGAGTTCTGTTTGTAGTAGTACAAATTCAAATGTGAGTTGCATTGCGAGTGAGCGAGAAGCTCTTATCGAGTTTAGGGGATAGCTCAAAGATGATGCAAATCGCTTATCCACGTGGGTTGGAAAAGACTGTTGTCTATGGAAAGGAGTTGGTTGTAGTAGGAAAACAGGCCATGTCATGAAGCCTGATCTACGTAATCCAATCCCTTTTGATTCGTACAAGGGCAATTTTATTCAGCATTCTGCCAATTTTGACAAGAACAGATTGAGAGGCGAGATAAGTCCTTCTTTACTCGTTTTAAATCATTTGAGTTATATAGACTTGAGCATGAACAATTTTTTAGATATGCAATTTCCAGAATTCTTAGGCTCCCTGAAAAGCTTGAGATACCTTGACATCTCTTGGTCACAATTTTTCAGTTCAAGAATGCAGCATCTCAACCTTAGCAATAACGCTTTAGTTGGTCCAATACCAGACACTCTTGGAAGGTTGATATCTCTCACAGTCCTTGACCTTTCTTTTAATGACTTTGATAACTCAATGTTGTATTGTTTGAGTAACTTGAGTAGTCTTGTCCATATGGATATCAGTTCCAATAATTTTAACAGTTTAATTCTTGATGCTCTTGGAAGGTCGACCACTCTCACCTTCCTTGACCTTTCTGACAACAATTTCCATAATTCAATGTTATTATATTCTTTGTGCAACCTTACCAGTCTTGTCCATTTGGATCTTGGTTTTAATAGTCTTAATGGTTCAATTCCTTATTGCTTTGGGAAGTTGCACTCTATTTCAGTCCTCAAGTTGGATTATAATAGTTTTCAAGGTCCAATTCCAAGTGAGATTGGTAATATGACACAACTTACAGAGCTTCACTTCACTAGAAACAAGTTCAAAGGTGAAATACCAAACTCCATGTGGTGGAACCTTTGCAACTTGTGCGTACTTGATTTGTCTTGTAACAAGCTCAGTGGTCATCTGCCAAACCACTTGGGAGAGTTCAAGAATCTTGAGTACCTTGATATTTCTAATAATTCATTTTATGGTCTACTGCCATCATCAATTGGAAGACTGTCATATTTGAGAGTGTTGAATACTAGAAATAATCAATTGAATGGGAGCATTCCAAATAGTCTTGGACAACTTTCAAAACTAGAAAAACTAGATTTATCAAACAATTCTTTTGTTGGCATGGTATTTGAACTTCATTTTGCCAAACTCAAGAGGTTAAATGAGTTAAACTTGTCTCTAAACTCATTATTAGTTCTGAATGTGAGCTCCCAATGTATTCCTCCTTTTCAACTCTCATCCATACTAATGGCATCCATCAACGTGGGACCCCAATTTCCTCTGTGGCTTAAGACAAAAAAAAATGTTAGAGATTTAGTCATGTCTAATGCAAGCATCTCAGATACCATTCCATATTGGTTTCATAATATTTTTTCTGGTGTTCGACACTTGGATTTATCCAACAATCAGATCAGCGGAAAGGTGCCAATATTTCAAGAATGTAAATACTGTGATTATATAGAGAATCAAAGGAAGTTGATATTGAGTTCTAACAAATTTAACGGCCCGATAACATCACGTCCTTCAGATGCTATGATATTAGATCTTTCGCACAACTTTATTTTAGGACCTATTCATATGAGTGATGATAATAAAAAACTGGGATTTAAAATTCTTGCTCTCTCAAATAACCATTTCACTAGTGGCATTCCAATGTCTTTATGCAAGGCAACAAATATAACAATGATTGATTTCTCAAAAAATCAATTATCAGGAAGAATTCCTCAATGCTTAGGACACTTGGATAACTTGGCAGTGCTAGATTTGTCGAATAACAACCTATGTGGTCATATTCCAAGTTCTGTAGGTTCCCTAAGATTTCTCATATCCTTACACTTACATAAGAATAGATTTCATGGGAAGCTTCCTTTATCCTTACAAGATTTAACATTTCTTTACGCACTTGATCTAGGTGGAAATGCATTCATTGATATTATCCCTCCTTGGATCGGATATAAACTAACTCATTTGTCATTTCTCAATCTTCAATCGAATAATTTCTATGGTGATATTCCTTCACAACTTTGTCGTCTTCAAAATCTACAATTGTTAAACTTGGCACAAAATAACATAACGGGAAATATCCCTCATTTTCGCAACTTCATTGCCATGGCTGCACTAGATCCTAAGTACATGTTCGATCCAAGAAAGCATAAATCAATTAATAAACATTACCAAGAGAACATGTTGGATTCAATGAAAGGAAGAGAACTGGAATACACCAAGACACTCAAATTTCTCATCTCTATAGACCTTTCGAACAATGGCAATGTTGGAGAGATTCCAGAAGAGTTAATGGATCTTTTTGGGTTGTTGAACTTGAATTTATCTGGAAATCATCTGAAAGGAAGGATCCCTAATAATATTGGAAATTTGACACATCTGGAATCTCTTGATTTGTCTCGAAACAAACTTTTTGGCCCCATTCCTCCAAGTCTGTCTAGTTTAAGCTATCTAAATCATTTGAACATGTCATTCAATAATTTATCAGGGCGAATACCAATGGGAAATCAACTTCAAACTCTCGACGATCCTTCCATTTATATAGGCAACAATGGCCTTTGTGGTGCACCACTAAACAGCTGCCTCAATGATAAATCATCTGATGGTGATCACAAACATGTTGATGAGAGTAAAGCTGCAGATGAAACTGATTTTTTGTGGTTCTACACTGGCATTGGACCTGGTTTCTCGGTTGGGTTCTTGGGGGTCTGTGGCACTTTGAATTTTAAGAAGTCTTGGAGGTATGCATACTTCCAGTTCATCGAAAACAACTACAATTGGATATCAATAAGCATAGCAATCAAGTTCGCTCAGCCAAGGAGGAAGTTCAACAAAGACAAATTTGGAGGATGAATTTATCAACCAATTGGTTCGTCTCTCTCTCTCTCTCTCATCATGTACCTATATTACCTCTGTATCTTGTCATGATTGCGATGTGTGCATCAAATCAGCATCATCATAACCCATGATTTGTCTCGCATGAATCTTTCAAATTTTTTTCAATTCCTTACCGTCATTAACATAACAATGCTAATCATGTAAATGATTTTTGGAACATCATCACAACTTGAAGAATAACCATTCATATTTTGAAGTAGAGGTAGTGATATTTCCAGATTATCATCAAAACATGTCTTACATTCAAGATCATATAGTAAAGTACAGATTAATTTCCAACAAATTTCTTTACCAAAAGCGCCAAAATTCTTTGTCACATGCTTAAAAACATTGAAACAAATGCAGGTTTGTTGTTATATAGTTCAAATAATGCAAATACATTTCTCAAATAATTTTTCAAAAGTCATTTGTTGCATTATTTCAGAGAAACCATGTTAACATCCACTAATATGCTTGTTATATGCTTTGCTGTCATTAAAGGGTCTTATATTCAGCTGGAGAAAGGAGCATCAGAGGAAGCAGCATTGAGATCATGTTATGGATTTTCTTGAGTTGTTGGAAAGAAACAAGTGTGAATAATTCTATTGTTCTAGTATATATGCTGATGGGGTTTGATGATTTTGTGCCTTTTGTAAAATATTCTAAAGTAAGTCTTTCTTTAAATAAATGATTTGTGAATTGTCGTATTGCCCAGGATATGTTATAGACTGTGTTTTGCATATATATGTATTCTCCTTTTATTGGTGAATTCTATGATTTTTGCCAATTGAGGCCATAGATTCTAGTTTTAATTTTGAGAATTGAGCAAAATGCTCCAACAATGATATACATATAGTAATGGTATCACCAAGAAAAACCTTATCAAAACAGAGAGCTATTGTGCAACAGTCAAATTCACATATAAGTTCAACTATTCATGTTTTTCTTCACATTGTAGTAATCTTTATTTGTGTCAAAGCTTTTAATGATTTAGGAGAAGTATGTAACATCAGTAATATACAAGTATGTTTCTCAACTTGCAATCCTTGCCAAAGATTTTGTGTGCGTGTGTGTTTTTTATTCTCTATCTATTTTTGTCTATTGAGTTTTAACCAATTTACAAGTGTTTGTGGTTGGCTTTTTTAATAACTTTTTGTTGATTTTTTTTTCATCTATAATGATTTTTTTTTTTTTAATTAAAAAGTGTTACACTCTTGAATTCTACTCGACTAGAGAAATTAGAAAAGATAAAAAAAAATTGAAAATTTTGAAAAAAAATCCAAAAAGGACTAAAAAAATCAAAAGCAATTGACTTTTTTTTTAAAAAAAACTTTTTTTTCCCTAAAAGTGTTTTTTTTTTTTTTTTTTTAAAGATTGTCTATGCAAGACAAACCTAAAATGTAAACGAAAAAAAAAGAGAAAAGAAAAGGCATAATTTAGAAAGAAAAAAATCACTAGAAATTAAATTTTTTTAAATATATACATATATATAAAACTTTTTTTGGTGAATACCAAACACTAACAAATGCCAAAGCAATAAAACTGTCATTGTAACCAAAATATCATAAGTTTCCATATATGTAGATGCAAATGCAGATGATCAGCTCCTAACTACACATTGATTTCAGCAGTCCACACAATGACCCAAAGGGGATCTAAATCAATTATCACAATTTCAATATGTATCAGCCAATCCTACACACCATACCAACAATTAGCATAGAGAAAAGGAAGATGCTATGATGTTCACCCTTAAAATAATGCATATGGTATGCTTTTGTGTCATTTTAGTTCCTATATTTTCAAATCGCTCGATTTTAACCCTAAATTTTATATTTCGTCTCTTTTTGTCCCAATTGAAAATGGTAGTTAAGTTTTTTTGATAGAAACTGGCCATGTGTGTGTCACATGCCTTATTTTAAAGGGTAAAATTGTAAATTTAATATTTTGTACATTATTCAGCCAACTCAGTGAGTTAACTCACTCAAATAAACAAACATGTGGATCTCAATTGTAGAAGAGAAGAGATGGTTTTGTTTACAGATGGTTCGACAGGGAAAAAGAAAGGGGGTTCGTTCAACAATGGGGCCTAGTTGGGGTAAGGCCGTGAAATTCGACTAGTGTCCGTTGATGAGAAGGTCACGACCAGAGATCATTACTTTTGCTTAGGGGTGTGTGCGGTGCAGGTCTGTGTGGTTTAGGAGTAAAATAGAAACCGTATGGCAGACGATGGATTGATGAAAGTGTCATTAGAAATTGTTATTTTTCTTATCAAAAACTGGCAGTTCGGTTGGCAAATAATGACGGTTTTGACTTGACGGTTAGGGTGGATTGGTGGTTTATAAAAAAAACATAATTGAAATTACAAAACTTGAATGAAAGAGTTAAAAGATCTAATTTATAAATTAACTAAAATAGTCAAAATTAAAATAGGCGTTCATTCATCTAATTTAACATTAAACATTAACAAACTAGTGAACTAAAAATTCAACAATCCAAACAAATTATACAATAACAACTGAACATAAATAAATAACAAAAAACTATCATCAAAATCATTAAACAAAAAAAAAAAAGCAAGAAAATAATATTGAGCACAGACAATTGGATTCCAAAAAATAATTAAAGTATTGACCAACAATTGGAGGTTGGGGAAGGTGATTAATGTATATTTTTATTAGTTGGGGGAAGACCCAGTCAAGTCAATTTGTGGGCAGTTAATTTTCTACCCCTTCTCTTCTCTCTCTCTCTCCAAGATTCTGAGCTATCATAAGAAGGCTTCGAGAAAAATGGCTGAAACTAGAGACATTGATACAGGTCTCGATGACAAAAAGCGAAAAAGGATAAAGGGCAAGAGCTATGTACCAGCGAAGAGCAGCAGCAGCGGCAGCGACGAGCGAAGAGCAGCAGCGGTGGCGCGGTGGCAGCAAGGCTAATGGCGCGCAGTGGCGACGATCGGCAAGGTAAGGAGGAGGAGCAACAAGGGAGGCGCATAGCAGTCGATGAATGAAAGAGAGGGATTGGGGTGTGAGTTAGGCGTAATTGAGAATTCATTGTGTGTGTGTGAGCCTCTGTATATTTACTTTGATTGATTTAATCCAATGGTTGGAATTGAACCTGGATGTATATATATATTAGCTGGAAGGAAAAATGAAATCAATGGCGGGTTGGGTCGGTTGAACTGGCGAGTTGGCTTTCACGGACCACCACCCGCACCGACCCGCCCTCCTTGAACCCTCCACCCGCCCAACCCGCCCGCCAGAAGCAAAAAAAAAAAATGTGCGCTTGGTGCGATTTTGACAGTATTATATACAATCCTGCTGCAATTGCGGCAGATTGTGAGATTTCTCATCATCACCACCTCATCTCTATTACCTGCTATTTATCATTTTAGGCAATAGAACTGATCTAAGGACTGGTTTGGCTTAGCCTAAATAAGCTAAAAAGTCAAAGTTACAACAAAATTTAAAAAATATCACTATTCATAAAAAAAAAAAAAAAATTAAAAAATCAATCTTCTTCAAAAAAAAGTACACACCGAATTGATGTGTGTGCAGCTGCTGTGTGCGGCAGTGGAGAAAAAAGAAATGATTGGGTGTGGTTTTTACACACACCGTTGTCCGTCCCATGGGGGCCATCACGGGTCTCGTTTTGATAATCTGAATCGCTGAATGTGTAGAAATCGTCGAGTACTATAAATATGCAAAAAATCACATTGATCGGATATCAATAATTATATGATCAAATCAGTTATGTACAACAAATGGATGGTGTTATAATTAATGATTGAAAAATAAATAAATCTGATCAGATAGCTATCGATATCCGATTAACGTGATTTTTTATAAGTACATAGTGTTCGACAAGTTACACATATTGAACGGTTCAGATTATTAAAATGGGACCCGTGATGACCCCCACGGGCCAAACAAAACCGTCGAATGCTTTTTACAAAAATTAGCCAATAATTTCCAACTCCAATTCACTCTGCCGGTTGTACGGCTGGGGCCCACCCCTCTCTAATCATCTCCTACACACTTTTTTTATACAATTTTTTAATATACATTTTTTCATAAAAAGTCAAAAAGTTAACCCAAACCTCCATATTTTTTTCTCAACTTTTTTAGTCTAAAAAGATAAAAAGTTCACTTTTTTAAGACACCCCAAACCATGCCTAAGTTTTTCCTCCTTAAAATAAACAAAAACTTAACCAAGTTTTTTATGGAATTGCCGATAAAAAATAAAAATAAAAATAATCTTTATGGAATTGTTTGCAATTTTTTTATATTACTTTGAAAAAAGTCTTTTTGTCAATGGTGTTTTGCTAAGATATTATAGATTCAATGTAAAAATTTTAGAGACCATTGATTTAATTTGTTCAATAAAAAAAGGCAAGTTCCGTTTGTCACTAGTAATCTTAGAAGTTTGAGATAAATATTATTGGGGGGAGGGGGGAACGCAACTAATACAAGTAATATGTAAATATAAAAATAATTAATAATAAAACGTACATTTCAATATAAAGATATGACAATTATTTTATATACATATATGATTAATGAATGGCCAATGATACTACATTTATTTATTTTTTAATGATATTTAGTTTACCATTGCATTGGTTAAGTTGGTTCCATCACTAGCGACAATTTCAAGGCAATTGTAACAAATGATATGGTAAAAAATGTGATCATGTAAATGAATGACTTTTCCTGGTGGCAAAAAGGATAGACCCTAAGAATGAATTGTAAATCCAAATATATTTCTCAATCTTATTCTAAAATTCGAGATTTACTTATTCTGAAGAGTGGGTCCAATGTAGCTTTCACGATTGCATTGGTTAAGTTGGTTCCCTCACCCCATTGTGTAATTATCTTTTTTTTTGTCCTTATTAAGTGGGGGAACTGTTCATATAGGAACCATAAACCATAATTAAGCTGTGGGAAAGTGATTATAACTTATAGCCTAATAGCTTATAGCTTATAACTGTGAACATAAGCTGATTTTTTACTTATAAATTAAGTTTCTCCTCCCCCACTCAAAGAATAAGTTGATTTTTGACTTACAAAAAGGTATAAGCTGTATTATTGAGCTGAACCAAACACATCAAAATCGCTTAAATTAAGCTAAAAGCTAAAATAAGTTAGAAATAAGGCCTACCAAACTGGACCAATAACAACTTAACATGTGACTACTAATTTTGATACACGTATATAAAATGTAAAGAGTTGTTACTATTGCTACACCTCCACATGTATCTTACCATATGTAACATAATTACAATATTTCATAATAAACATCGCAACAATTAATTATTTTTACCAAAATGATTTGTAACATTTTTTTATCACAAATAATTTATAATATTTACATTATATCAATTATAATATAACTATAATGTTCGTACCATAACTACTATGCATAACTTTTACTCTAACAATACACACTATAAATTTATCATTTATAATTTTTACCACAAAATAACATAATAGTTTAGTAACTTTTACTACAATAACTTTCACTACAACAAATTATAAAGTATTAATTTTTTGAAGCTGCAAAACCATAAATTTCTCCTAAAATGTATTAAAAATATATAAAATATTTTTAAAATGTGAAAATTACATTAAAAATCATACATAACTATTTTGACATTTTCTTTACCTCATCCATCAATAGCGCATAGGATTATCATATTAATTTGACCAATATAAAATTGGGTAATTGGGTCATAAGTTTAATTTAATTTAATTTATTTTTTGAAAAAATAACTCAAAACATTATTTTTTGAGGTTAAAAATATAAAATAATTTGAAAGATTATATTATTTTTGACTATCTATTTTTCAATTTATTCATTATTCACATTACTTATTTGTCCATGCGTCATCTATCTATCTATCTATCTACTTGTCATCATTCTATTTGTTCATGCGCATGTATCTACTTAATTTGCTTATTTATTCATATTACCACCATCACCGGTCGCTATTGCCAGCACCTCCAATGACTTTTGTGACGACTAGCTAACAACAATTTGGCTACAGTAGGATAAAAATAAAAAAAATTCTTTCAAAATAAGAATGTATCTGTACGGGGAGGAAATATTCCGGCTAGCCCGTACTCCTTTCTTCCAAGCTCCTGTCTGTCCGATTGACCTGCGAGCACCACGACGGTGAGCTACCCGGCGATGTGTGGCCGGAAAACCCCTCCGACGATCAAGTTAGCACACACCTTGGGATCAAGAGAGAGGAGAGAGTCGAGTGTAAGTATTTTTTTTACCAAATGTTCATCTGCC